GAGGAAAGGGGGTAAAGAGAAGAGGAAAAGATCCCAAGTACACCCTGTTAACTACTTTCTCCTTTTGATTACTAGGAGCCTCAGATCACTAGGAGCTCGTTTGAAACGTAGGTTTGTACACGGTTAAAGGAGACAAACAATAAGAGAAACGCACAATTTCAACAGCCTTTCCGAGTAGAAAGCACATGCTCCTAGTGGCTAAGTGGCTGTCACTGGTGGTGCCTGACACAGTTATATTCACAACAACAACAACAACAACAAAGTATGCGGAGGAAATTAAATTATGTGAAAATCAATAGCGTCTGACTGCTTCAAACAAATGTCTGTCACCGCGACTGTTCTCCAGGAACCTATTTATAAACCTTGAAAGAAACAGTTTCTTGCAGCAAAAGACAGCACCTTCCACATTTCTGTGCTGTTATTTTTCCCTGTGTACAGAAGAATGCGCGGGCATAATTTAACATACAAATGCCCAGCTGTATACATTATATAACAGCTTGTTAGGCATCCTGGAGAGGTGTACCTAAGTAATGCGCATATATTCAGGACTTGCAAGGGGAGAGGAAAAAACCCACAGAGGGGCGTGCGTGCATCTCCTCTTCCTCCTAAAAGGTGGCTATCCTTAGACAATAGCTGGCCTTTCTGATCTTTCCAGACCCGCGATGGAAAGGTAAGGCGTGCATTGCGCATGCCCCGGCAGCTACAGGTGCATCACCTGCGCTGTCCTTGCTGGTGGTCACTATAAGAGCGGCTCCCACGCGTCGATAGCGGTTCGACGAGCGCGCGCTCGTGCAGACGCACGGCGCCGCCGAAAGGGAGAGCGCGCGCTAGACAGACAGCTGATGCCTGTCAACGCGGCGGGGCCGCAAGCTCTCGCGAGAGCTCCCCGGGCCGGTCGCGAGAAGTGGGGCTCAGGTGTAAGAAGAGTGCATCCCGTCGGCGCGCCAGGCTAGAGCTCTAGGAGAAGCGGCACCGCGAGGCCGGCGCGCGGCGCTCTGCGCGGTCTGGGGAGCGCCGGGCGGCAGCAGGAGCAGCAGCAGCCTGCGGCGCGGCCGCCGCCAGCCGCCGCTCCCGCCGCGGCTGCAGCCTCTGAAGGGAGGCCGGGGGAGCCGGCGAGCACACTTTCCCGCGGACTTTCGGAGTGTTTGTGGATTACATGCCCAGCCGTCAAGATGATGTCCATGAACAGCAAGCAGCCACACTTTGCCATGCATCCCACCCTCCCTGAGCACAAGTATCCGTCGCTGCACTCCAGCTCCGAGGCCATCCGGCGGGCCTGCCTGCCCACGCCGCCGGTAAGCGCCCCGCGCCCGTGGCCCCGGCCCGCGCGCCCGCCCCCTCCCCCTCTCGGAGACTCTGCATGTCGGGTGCTGGTGTGTGCAGGTCCGGGTGCGGGCGATCGCGGGCAGGGGTTTTTAGAGAAATCCCGCTGTGAGGCACGTTTTGTTCAGCGGTGCTTAAGGTTGTGTTCGGTCTGCCTCTGCCTCTGTGTCAAGCGCCTGCGACCAGTGGGGAGTTCTGGGGCCGTGACTCTCGACTTCCCTCCACTTTCTCTGCTAATTTCACGCCTCAGAAAGGCGGTCTCTATGCGTGCCCGGGTGTGTGACACTGGTCCCTAGCTGCGAGTTACATTTCCATTTCTTCTTCTTCTTTCCCCCTTCCTTTTTTCGTCTCCCACGCCCGTTCCCGGAATGTGCTCCTGTGTCACCTTTTCTTCCTGCTTCCGTACCCCTCTTTACGCTCCTTTCCCTTCTCGTCTGTTCCCCTGCTTGTGTCCCCCGTTCCGTCTTTCCCGTCCTCCACTCTTCCCACCCCCGTCGTTATTTTGGTTGCTTTGTGTTTGCCTTTTGCTTGTTGTGCTTTCTGGCTTGTGTGTGTGTGTGTGTATGTGTGTGTGTTTTGTTTTTGCTTTTTTGGTTTTGTGGTTTTTTTGGTTTGGTTTGTGTCGCCTGCAGCTGCAGAGCAACCTCTTCGCCAGCCTGGACGAGACACTGCTGGCGCGGGCCGAGGCGCTGGCGGCCGTGGACATCGCGGTGTCCCAGGGCAAGAGCCACCCTTTCAAGCCGGACGCCACCTACCACACGATGAACAGCGTGCCATGCACGTCCACATCCACCGTGCCGCTGGCGCACCACCACCACCATCACCACCACCACCAGGCATTAGAGCCAGGAGACCTGCTGGACCACATCTCGTCCCCTTCGCTCGCGCTCATGGCTGGAGCTGGCGGCGCGGGCGCTGCGGGTGGTGGTGGAGGCGCCC